TTGTATGCTGCTCTTTTAGCCAACAACCAATAAGAAATCAACAATTTATTTTTCAGATACGTATATCCAATGATGCGGTATGTGGATGAAGAGCACGTTGCCATCAAACCCATGTCAAAGGAGTTTTATGAAATTATCGATGCTATCTTGAATTCTGAGTACTACACTTCAGACCCTGATGAAGCATGTCTTTTCATTCCGCCCATTGATACCTTAAATGAAAATAACCTGAGGAAAGATGAGATTGCTAAAGCTTTAGCAATGCTACCACAGTGAGTTATTGTTGAGTCAAGTTTTGAAAGTATTCCTATAAATTTTCTAGGTCATACTTCACTAGGCAACTGTAGTCTTGAATTCCAATTACATTTTTTTAACCGTTATTCCACAACCTCTGTTCCCTCACTGGAGCTCTTGTGGTAATGGGCAGAAATAGCGTATTGGTGGAAGTAGCAGCATTTACTTATTAGGTTTAGTTGCATGGAATAATTGGTAACTGCATTTACGAATAATAATCAAGATTGATATGTTATTTATCTTCCTTTTACTTTCTTCCAGTCAAGTATTATACATGTCAGGAACCACAAAAAGAAGTGACTTGTTTGCATGTTGACATCTTCAGGGTGGTTATGTTTGGGCAATCCTGGCCTTTATTCTTGAAGCCTACTTAGTCAACTACTGCCAGGCAGGCACATGGCATTACTTATCCTCAGGCATTTTTTGTGAGCAAATAACTGAAATGATAATAATAATGACAATGATAATAATAATGACAATGATAATTATAATGATGATAATAATAATTATAATGGTAATGATAATGACAGTGATAAGGATCCACACACATACAGGGACTCACTCTCTCACTCTCTCTTTCTCTTTCTCTTTCTCACTCGCTCACTCACTCACTCACTCCCTCACTCACTCCCTCACTCCCTCACTTCCTCACTCACTCACTCACTCACTCACTCACTCACTCTCTCACTCTCTCTTTATTTCTCTTTCTCTTTCTCACTCCCTCCCTCCCTCCCTCCCTCCCTCCCTCCCTCCCTCACTCACTCACTCACTCACTCACTCACTCACTCACTCACTCACTCACTCACTCACTCACTCACTCACTCACTCACTCACTCACTCACTCACTCACTCACTCACTCACTCACTCACTCACTCACTCACGCACTCACTCACTCACTCACTCACTCACTCACTCACTCACTCACTCACTCACTCACTCACTCACTCACTCACTCACTCACTCACTCACTCACTCACTCACTCACTCACTCACTCACTCACTCACTCACTCACTCACTCACTCACTCACTCACTCACTCACTCACTCACTCACTCACTCACTCACTCACTCACTCACTCACTCACTCACTCACTCACTCACTCACTCACTCACTCACTCACTCACTCACTCACTCACTCACTCACTCACTCACTCACTCACTCACTCACTCACTCACTCACTCACTCACTCACTCACTCACTCACTCACTCACTCACTCACTCACTCACTCACTCACTCACTCACTCACTCACTCACTCACTCACTCACTCACTCACTCACTCACTCACTCACTCACTCACTCACACACACACACACACACACACACACACACACACACACACACACACACACCCCCATACCCATTAGATACTTAATTCATATTTGTATGCTGCTCTTTTAGCCAACAACCAATAAGAAATCAACAATTTATTTTTCAGATACGTATATCCAATGATGCGGTATGTGGATGAAGAGCACGTTGCCATCAAACCCATGTCAAAGGAGTTTTATGAAATTATCGATGCTATCTTGAATTCTGAGTACTACACTTCAGACCCTGATGAAGCATGTCTTTTCATTCCGCCCATTGATACCTTAAATGAAAATAACCTGAGGAAAGATGAGATTGCTAAAGCTTTAGCAATGCTACCACAGTGAGTTATTGTTGAGTCAAGTTTTGAAATTATTCCTATAAATTTTCTAGGTCATACTTCACTAGGCAACTGTAGTCTAGAATACCAATTACATTTTTTTAACCAATTAACCACAACCTCTGTTCCCTCACTGGAGCTCTTGTGGTAATGGGCAGAAATAGCGTATTGGTGGAAGTAGCAGCATTTACTTATTAGGTTTAGTTGCATGGAATAATTGGTAACTGCATTTACGAATAATAATCAAGATTGATATGTTATTTATCTTCCTTTTACTTTCTTCCAGTCAAGTATTATACATGTCAGGAACCACAAAAAGAAGTGACTTGTTTGCATGTTGACATCTTCAGGGTGGTTATGTTTGGGCAATCCAGGCCTTTATTCTTGAAGCCTACTTAGTCAACTACTGCCAGGCAGGCACAATGGCATTACTTATCCTCAGGCATTTTTTGTGAGCAAATAACTGAAATGGTTGTTGCTAAGGATGAAGTCACCAGGTAATGGCAGTCTGCAGCCTTTGATCCAGTGAGGGCACAGTCTGCTGGGTAGTGCTTGACCATGTTGACAGAATGTTAAGTGTAGAGTAGTGTGTGTTGACTTGTCTAGGAGATGGGTTATATCACTTAACCCATTCGCGCCGGGTGTCACGTATATGTGACATGCCCACTGCGAGTTTCCTTGTTTAATTGTTTTCACACATACAAGGCTACACTTGTACTTGTACTGCCTGTCTTGCCTGTTTACTCTTTTCTCTAATATACGAAAATATTTTATGTTATCTTATTTTGTTGTTACAAATGTTTATAACATTATAGTAATTATAATATTTATTATAAATATTTCCATCAATATTCATAGCACTAGTAAAAATACATTTTCCCGCCAAATGAAATCAGGTAAGGCAGAGCCATCTAGTGTAGAGATATTTCACAAAAAAAATATAAAAAATCAACACAGCATTTTCCCCATTTTTTGTTCATTTTTACCCAGTGCCAATGGGTTAACCCATTGGCACCGGGGAACATGCTGTGCTCATTTTTTATATTTTTTTGTGAAATGTCTACACATAGATGGCTCTGCTGTACCTGTTTTCACCTTTCCTTGAATTGGCGGGAAAATGTATTTTTTACTAGTGCTATGAATATCGATGGTGTCATTTTTACTATAAACATTATAATTTCTATAATGTTATAAACATTAATAATAACAAAATAAGATAACATAAAACATTTTCGTAAATTAAAGAAAAGAGTGAACAGGCTCATTGGTGATTTAGTACAAGTGTAGCCATCTATGTATAAAAACAATTAAACAAGTAAACTCACAGTGAGCATGGCATACACGTAAATGCCATGCCCGTTGGGAATGGGTTAACAAGAAGTAAATGCAGCCTAATTATAGCTTATATTGAGAAAAAGATCTGTAAATATATATATATATATATATATATATATATGTATATATATATATATATATATATATATATATATATATATATATATATGTGTGTGTGTGTGTGTGTGTATATGTATGATTTGTTTGAATCACAATGGCAGTCTTTAGAGGTTGTGGTGTTACAAAGTTATGTATCAAAGGAGCGAGCACATTGGAAACAAGAAAATGTATTGATTATTTTTTTTGTTCCATTTTTTTTTTTTTTTTTTTCCTCTTTTTATGTTTGTAAAAATATAGAAGAAAAGCAAGTATGAATTAAGAAATTGTACAATAAATTTTCTTATATTTCCATGAACTTCAAAGTGGGCCTTCTAACATTCACATTGTTTCCAGCTGGTCTGAAGGAGAAAACCACCTTCTTTTCAACATGTTGCCTGGAACGCCACCAGAATTTGACACAACCTTAAACTTGGCTCGTGGCAAAGCTATTGTGGGTGGGGGTGGATTCTCTTCCTTGACGTACCGCAGGGGTTACGATGTTTCTCTCCCGGTATATAATCCAGCTCATCAAAATACACCTTTGAAAAGAAAACCTCTGTAAGTTTGTATCTTAGCCTTTGTCATTCCTGAAAGTAAAATACTTTAACTAGTGTCCTCACATTGTATTGTTTTAGCTGACATTGAAAGTTTTAGAAGAAAGAAACCATCATTAAAGAAGAATTTGAATATCATGTAGATGTAATAATTATACTCCTAATATTTATATGATGATAAGGATGCTTTTATATCTAAATGTTATGTCAGTGTAAGCAATAGTGATATGCAACTTCATGGAATATTGTTTGTTACTATTTTCCAAGAAAAGGAAAATATTTTGTAGTCTTTTTTTATTATATTTGATTATGCTTTGGATATTTATCAATTTAGTGGAAAACGCCAGTGGTTGATGGTATCATCTCAGCCCAACATTCACCGAGACTACCGGGAAGACTTAGAAGCCCAGCTGTTGGAAAAACACACAGATGAGAAAGATCTCCTTATTCTTGACAAGTGTGCTCCATACTCCAATCTGACAGTACGATGTAGAGGATCTGATATGTATCAGTATCCTCAAATATTAAGTGTAAGTTTCATGTTGATAGGTTTTATAGTGTGTTTAAGAGATATTGGATAATATAAACAATAAAATACATATTGATATTTACTTTAGAATGTTATTTCCTGCAGGACGCAAAATTCTGTCTTGTAATCCGTGGTGGTCGTCTTGGACAAACCACTCTATATGATGCTATGCAAGCTGGATGTGTGCCTGTAATCATAGCAGATTCATATGTCCTACCATTTTCTGAGGTAAGTTAATTGTTTAACCTAATCGGCGCAGTAGCAAGAATACATGCCATGCTCACTGTAATATAATTTTTTTTTTTTTTTTGTATTTATTTATAGATGACTACAAGCTCTTAACCCATTCACGCCGGGTGTCACGTATATGTGACATGCCCACTTTGAGTTTACTTGTTTAATTGTTTTTACACATAGATGGCTACACTTGTACTTGTACTGCCTGTCTCACATGTTTACCCTTTTCTTTAGTTTACAAAAATATTTTACGTAATCTTATTTTGCTGTTACTAATGTTCATAACATTATAGTAATTATAATATTTATAATAAAGATAACCATTGATATTCATAGCACTAGTAAAAATACATTTTCCCGCCAATTCAAGTAAAGGTGAAATCAGGTAAGGCAGAGCCATCTAGTGTAGAGATATTTCACAAAAAATATAAAAAATGAGCACAGCGTTTTCCCCATTTTTTGTTGATTTTTACCCGGCGCGAATGGGTTAAGTCACCAAAGAGTCCGTTATTAGTCCTACCTCTCTCACCTGTTTACCCTTCTCCTTGAAAGTTTCTTTTGTATTATTTCACTGTCTTCATTGGTACCCAGACTTTAATAACTGTTTAATAACTTTGATAACAGTATCAAAAGTATTAGAAAGAAAAACACATTTTCCTGCAATTTCAAGGAAAGGAGAAATCAGGAGTGGTCACTAAGGCCAACTGAGAGACTCCTTGGTGGCTGAACACACGTGGAGCCAAAATTCACAAAAAAATACAAGGGAGAGTACATAAATCCATAGTGATTGGGTTAATATTGGAGGTTAGATTTCAGGTTGTCAAAGGATAAAAGAAATGAATTGAATAATGATAAAACTCTGCCTACATATAGAGTTGCTATTCATTGCAAATAGCATTTTTTTCCTTGTTGATATTGTGATTTCACTTAGTTGTCGCTGTTTTTCCAAGAGAATAGTCTGTGGATTACAGTGGGATATTCAAGCTCAGATGAATTTTGATATTCCTTGATGCAAACCTCAATCACAAGATTTCATGTTCTTTATTGAATTATCAAGTAATTATAAACAAATATATATTTTTCTTTGTTTATTCATTGTGCACAACTCAACATGTTTGCTCAACAGATGAGAAAATCTATTGTCATACACATAGATGGCTTTACAAGCGTTTAGTCACCAAGGAGTTAGTTAGTTAAAAGGGTAAATCTCACCTATTTACCCTTTTCCTTGAATTTTGGAAAGCTTCATTTGTATTATCTTATTGTTTTTAACCAAATTGCCCCATATGGCAAGAATACATGCCATGTCCACTGTAATACAACTTTATTTATTGTATTTACACATAGATGGCTCTACAAGTGCTTAGTCACCAAGGAGCCAGTTATTAGTCCTATCTACCTCACCTGTTTACCCTTTTCCTCAACTTTTGGAAAGGGTCTTTTGTATTATATCATAGTCTTAAATGTTACCAAGATTTTAATAACAATTTGATAATCATGACATCAAGAACAATAATACAATATTGATAACAATTGTATATAAAAAAAAGCAGTTTCCTGCCAATTCAAGGAATAGGGAAATCAGGATCAATAACTATATATATAAATATAAATATATATATATATATATATATATATATATATATATATATATATATATGTATGTATGTATGTATGTATGTATGTATGTATGTATGTATGTATGTATATATGTATATATCTATATATCTATATATATATATGTCTATATATATGTCTATATATATATGTCTATATATATGTCTATATATATGTCTATATATATGTCTATATATATATATATATATATATATATATATATATATATATATATATATATATGTCTATATATATGTCTATATATATGTCTATATATATGTCTATATATATGTCTATATATATGTCTATATATGTCTATATATGTCTATATATATATATATATATATATATATATATATATATATATATATATATATATATATACATACATATATACATACATATACATACATACATACATACATACATTATTTCATGTTGAAAGGGCAACATGGTTACATGTCCAGATTCTTTTGAAGACCAATTTGTGATTATATCTTGTAAAATTTTGGCACTCATTCACTGTAGGTGCATTCACTGTTTGAAGTTTTATTCCCATAATGTAGCTGGGGGTTTAGCAAGTAAAACCAGTCATCTGTAATTCTCATCTAACTTTTTCTTGTTGTTGTTATCTGTGCAATCTGGTAGTAGAGGCCACCAAACACACCACAGCAACATATTAGGGGAAGTGGATAAGATGAAACTGCCCGCTGGGCATTGAGGAGCTCGTGTGCTCTCAGCCATGGTCTGGGTGTAATGGAGGAGTATAGGAACATAAGTGACAAGACCTTGTGTACGTTGACTTTGGTTTAGCCAACTCCTAGACTATAACAACTTGATAATGTCATAGTGACCCCAGCAGATTTAACCAGTTTACTTTGACTTGTCTTATCTTCTTTGTGCCAAAGTTTCATCAGTTTATCTTGTAGCCGGTCCAACTTTCAGATATAAACTCTCATGCTGTTAATAAGAAGTACATATATCATGATCAATATTTTTATCAGAGGACATCTACCTCTTTTTATCAGGTCTCCTTTAGCTTACAACTGTAAGATATGGCATTGATAGAAGTTCATTAGTGTCATAAATTTTTGATATTAGTACTTTTATACTATCAAGCTGAAGTATTATGTGTTGATGCAATAAATTTTATCTTTGGATTCACATGCATGCACACACACATTCACATGCATGCACACACACATTCACATGCATGCACACACACATTCACATGCATGCACACACACATTCACATGCATGCACACACACATTCACATGCATGCACACACACATTCACATGCATGCACACACACATTCACATGCATGCACACACACATTCACATGCATGCACACACACATTCACATGCATGCACACACACATTCACATGCATGCACACACACATTCACATGCATGCACACACACATTCACATGCATGCACACACACATTCACATGCATGCACACACACATTCACATGCATGCACACACACATTCACATGCATGCACACACACATTCACATGCATGCACACACACATTCACATGCATGCACACACACATTCACATGCATGCACACACACATTCACATGCATGCACACACACATTCACATGCATGCACACACACATTCACATGCATGCACACACACATTCACATGCATGCACACACACATTCACATGCATGCACACACACATTCACATGCATGCACACACACATTCACATGCATGCACACACACATTCACATGCATGCACACACACATTCACATGCATGCACACACACATTCACATGCATGCACACACACATTCACATGCATGCACACACACATTCACATGCATGCACACACACATTCACATGCATGCACACACACATTCACATGCATGCACACACACATTCACATGCATGCACACACACATTCACATGCATGCACACACACATTCACATGCATGCACACACACATTCACATGCATGCACACACACATTCACATGCATGCACACACACATTCACATGCATGCACACACACATTCACATGCATGCACACACACATTCACATGCATGCACACACACATTCACATGCATGCACACACACATTCACATGCATGCACACACACATTCACATGCATGCACACACACATTCACATGCATGCACACACACATTCACATGCATGCACACACACATTCACATGCATGCACACACACATTCACATGCATGCACACACACATTCACATGCATGCACACACACATTCACATGCATGCACACACACATTCACATGCATGCACACACACATTCACATGCATGCACACACACATTCACATGCATGCACACACACATTCACATGCATGCACACACACATTCACATGCATGCACACACACATTCACATGCATGCACACACACATTCACATGCATGCACACACACATTCACATGCATGCACACACACATTCACATGCATGCACACACACATTCACATGCATGCACACACACATTCACATGCATGCACACACACATTCACATGCATGCACACACACATTCACATGCATGCACACACACATTCACATGCATGCACACACACATTCACATGCATGCACACACACATTCACATGCATGCACACACACATTCACATGCATGCACACACACATTCACATGCATGCACACACACATTCACATGCATGCACACACACATTCACATGCATGCACACACACATTCACATGCATGCACACACACATTCACATGCATGCACACACACATTCACATGCATGCACACACACATTCACATGCATGCACACACACATTCACATGCATGCACACACACATTCACATGCATGCACACACACATTCACATGCATGCACACACACATTCACATGCATGCACACACACATTCACATGCATGCACACACACATTCACATGCATGCACACACACATTCACATGCATGCACACACACATTCACATGCATGCACACACACATTCACATGCATGCACACACACATTCACATGCATGCACACACACATTCACATGCATGCACACACACATTCACATGCATGCACACACACATTCACATGCATGCACACACACATTCACATGCATGCACACACACATTCACATGCATGCACACACACATTCACATGCATGCACACACACATTCACATGCATGCACACACACATTCACATGCATGCACACACACATTCACATGCATGCACACACACATTCACATGCATGCACACACACATTCACATGCATGCACACACACATTCACATGCATGCACACACACATTCACATGCATGCACACACACATTCACATGCATGCACACACACATTCACATGCATGCACACACACATTCACATGCATGCACACACACATTCACATGCATGCACACACACATTCACATGCATGCACACACACATTCACATGCATGCACACACACATTCACATGCATGCACACACACATTCACATGCATGCACACACACATTCACATGCATGCACACACACATTCACATGCATGCACACACACATTCACATGCATGCACACACACATTCACATGCATGCACACACACATTCACATGCATGCACACACACATTCACATGCATGCACACACACATTCACATGCATGCACACACACATTCACATGCATGCACACACACATTCACATGCATGCACACACACATTCACATGCATGCACACACACATTCACATGCATGCACACACACATTCACATGCATGCACACACACATTCACATGCATGCACACACACATTCACATGCATGCACACACACATTCACATGCATGCACACACACATTCACATGCATGCACACACACATTCACATGCATGCACACACACATTCACATGCATGCACACACACATTCACATGCATGCACACACACATTCACATGCATGCACACACACATTCACATGCATGCACACACACATTCACATGCATGCACACACACATTCACATGCATGCACACACACATTCACATGCATGCACACACACATTCACATGCATGCACACACACATTCACATGCATGCACACACACATTCACATGCATGCACACACACATTCACATGCATGCACACACACATTCACATGCATGCACACACACATTCACATGCATGCACACACACATTCACATGGAAAGAGGCAGCAGTGCAGATATATGAGGAAGATCTGCCTACTGTAATGCAAACCATCAAAACTGAGATTTCTGAGGAGCGGTTAGAAGAAATGCACAAACAGGTGGGTATTAATTTCTTGCCCAGTTATTTGAATAGGTACACGCATTAAAGGCTCATATCCATAGTCAGTGTCAATCCTGCTTCTGTCCATTTGGGATCAGGATCGGGTTCCGGTTCTGGATCTGAAGACACCTGCACAGTACTGAGCATGTACCCCTAGTCATTTACACTAGTTTGTGTTTGGGAATTTGTGAAAACCCCAAATGTAAACACATCACATCATGGCAGGTGTACCATGCTTTGTCACATTTATTTAATTAATTTTTCATTATATCTTATATAATGGAAGATATCATTGAATGTCTGATCAAGTTGTTATTTGGTATTTCATTAAATTATACTACAGATGATTTTAACTCTGTTGACTTGCTCTATGTAAAAATCAGTTTGAATTGAGAGAGTGTATGCTGTTGTAGTAGCCCATTTGGAATTTTTGTACCTAAATGAGCTATAGAAAGTTATTGATAACAGCAATTTTAGTTAGAAACTAAATGAGTGAAAAAGGAAAATGTTCTTACTCTCTTTAGTACCTACTACTTTGAATTATTCCCTATGGGCCTACTGCCAGGAACTGAACTCCTATTTTATCAGTTAAATAGCTACATGAGAGATAGGGAAGGACAACTTTCTTTCCTATTTTGCTCATTTTTTTAATGTGAATAAAGTATTTTCCTTCTGGATGAGATTGCCATGCCTGTTAGAAGTGCTGTCCGAAGCCTGCCAGTAGTTCTGGTTTGTGATTTGAATCAGGCCCATGCTCGTCTACTGATGAGATTTTGTACTTATGTTTTTGCACAAGCATGCATGTACATATGCATGTTTGATATGTATGTGCATGGGAGCACGTGTGTGTGCCTGCGTACGCATGTGCACACACACACACACACACACATGTACACACACACGTACACACACACTCACATGCATGCACACACACATTCACATGCATGCACACACAGACGCATGCATGCATGCACGCACACACGCACGCACGTGCACACACACACACACACACACACACACACACACACACACACACACACACACACACACACACACACACACACACACACACACACACACACACACACACACACACATACACATACACATACACATACACATACACATACACACACATGCACATGTCTGTTTAGAAGAATGCCAAAAGTAAGTGACTGAATTAAAATCAGAAAAAATACATGAGAGAGAGAGAAAATATTTGTTGAAATGTTGACATTGATTTTAACCTTATGATAATTTTCTTCACAGGTTCTTTGGTTGTATGAAAAATATTTTTCAACAATGGAAGCAATTACACTCACAACTCTGAAGATCCTGAATGATCGAGTCTTCCCAGCACATGCCCGTTCATTAGAACAATGGAACAGACGTCCCATACCAACAGCAGTGAGCAACCCGCTCTTCCTCCCAATCACTGCACCTGTGAATGAAGGATTCACTGCAGTTATTCTCACTTATGATCGTTTAGAGTCGCTATTTCAGGTAAGTAATAGAGTTTATTATCTCGACCCACTTATGTCAAAAGGGAGTCTAAACGTATCATGTTCACTGTGATTTTAATGAAATAATTTACTCATATGTGACTCAACTAGTGCTTAATCACCAAGGAGTTAGTTTCTAGACTTATATGATCCCATCTGTTTACACTGTTCCTTGAAGTTTTGCAAAGAAAAGATTTTATTTTAATATATTATAATGATAAATAGTAGTAATAATATTAATAAAGCTAATGGTTGTATTAAGAATAAGAACTTTCTTCCCAAAACCTTCAGGGAATTGGATAAACCAATGGGATCAAGTACACCATGGACTGGGCTCTGTAGAGAATAACCCTTTGGTTGCCTGATAGTTTTTCACTCGAAAAGAAAGTTCTAAATCCATTTTTTTTTTTTTTTTTTTTTTTTTATGAAATTCAAATGACTATATAAAAAAGTTAAAACCATTATTTACTTACATACAAATGAATTTAACATATTTAGTTGCATTTATTTTTTGAAATGCAGAAATTGTACATTATATTCTACTGAATTTTTTATATTGAAAATTTGAAAATCACTTTCATGCTAATTATTATCAAATTATTTTTGAATAAATGTCTGTAGTATTAAGGAAAGGAGGAAGAGAGAGAGGGAGAGAGAGAGAGAGACTGAGAGAGCGAAGGGAGAGGGAGAGAGAGACTGAGAAAGTGAGAGAGAGAGGAAGAGAGAGACTGAGAAAGTGAGAGGGAGAGGAAGAGAGATACTGAGAGAGTGAAGGGAGAGGGAGAGAGAGACTGAGAAAGTGAGAGAGAGAGGAAGAGAGAGACTGAGAAAGTGAGAGGGAGAGGAAGAGAGATACTGAGAGAGCGAAGGGAGAGGGAGAGAGAGACTGAGAGAACGAGAGGGAGAGGGAGAGGGAGAAAGAGACTGAGAGGGAGAGGGAGAGGGAGGGAGAGAGAGAGAGGGACAGAAAGTGTAAAAGTCTATAAACCCAATGCCGAATGAGGACAGCATTTTCCCTGGCGATATTAGGTTAATACATTGGTTGTTACTGGATAGTCATAGTTCTGTTATGGCTTGACTCTTTATTACGGAACAGTGCAACACAGTGATGGGAACACCTGAGACAAATCTTAGGGTAAGTGCTGAGTTTGGGGTCGTGTGGTCCTGCTCTCCAACCCTGAGGAGACGAAGGCTGGGTGGCGACCTTGACACGACAAGCGCTGGGCACAAACTGTCTAGACCTGGGTCATCCTTGAGTATTAAAGAGTGTCCACTAGAACGCAGCGTGGAACCCCAGCTCCCGGAAATGTGGGGGGAGCGGGAGAGAGAGAGAGAGATATTGAGAGAGCGAGAGAGAGACAGATATTGAGAGAGTTAGAGATATTGAGAGATAGAGAGATATAGAGAGAGTGAGAGAGAGATATTGAGAGAAGGAGAGAGAGATATTGAGAGAGCAAGAGAGAGATATTTAGAGATATATTGAGAGACTGAGACAGATAGATATTGTGAGAAATTGAGAGAGCAAGAGAGATATTGAGAGAGTGAGAGGGAGAGAGAGATATTGAGAGAGCGAGAGAGAGATTTTGAGAGAGCGAGAGAGAGATATTGAGAGAGCGAGAGAGAGATATTGAGAGAGCGAGAGAGAGATATTGAGAGAGCGAGAGAGAGATATTGAGAGAGCGAGAGAGAGATATTGAGAGAGCGAGAGAGAGAGTGAGAGAGAGAGTGAGAGAGAGAGTGAGAGAGAGAGTGAGAGAGAGAGTGAGAGAGAGAGTGAGAGAGAGAGAGAGAGAGAGAGAGAGAGAGAGAGAGAGAGAGAGAGAGAGAGAGAGAGAGAGAGAGAGAGAGATATTGAGAGAGCAAGAGAGAGATATTGAGAGAGCGAGAGAGAGAGAGATATTGCGAGAGCAAGAGAGAGTGTGTGTAAAAGGCTATTTAGAGGGACCTTTATACATTGGTTATGGAGGAGTAGTGATAGGGGACAATGGCTTTGACTCTTTATTTCTTAGAGTACAAGCAACACAGATATTGTACACATGAGGCAAGTCCTGGGAAAGTGTGGAGTGGGAGCGGTTGTGGTCAGCCCTGCGGGGCAGAAGTGACCTGAGCCGTAGGCTGGGGGCGGCCTGTCCTGGCGAGTGCTGGTCATGAACTCTCTCTGACCGGGTCATACTTGGGCCTTAAATACTTGGGACGTGGCATGGGGATTCCACTGTGGAGCCACATGGCAAGCACACGGCGTGGGTACGCCACGTGGCCCGCAAGCAGCCTCGTGGTCCTATATGTGCTTATGTACACGGTATAGAGAGAGAGAGTGAGAGTCAGAGAGAGAACGAGAGACAGACAGACAGAGAGAGTTGGAAAGAGACAGCGAGAGTGAGAGAAATTGAGAGAGCAAGAGTGAAAGAAATTAAGAAAGCGAGGGCAAGAGAGAGAAAGAGATTGAGAGAGCGAGAGGGAGAGAGTTTGAGAGAACGAGAGCGAGAGTGAAAGAGATTGAGAGAGCAAGGGCGAGAGAGAGATTGAGAGAGCGAGGGCGAGAGAGAGATTGAGAGAGCGAGGGCGAGAGAGAGAGATATTGAGAGAACGAGAGAGAGAGAGAGATTGAGAGAGCGAGAGCGAGAGAGAGAGAGATTGATAGAGCGAGGGCGAGAGAGAGAAAGAGATTGAGAGAGTGAGGGCAAGAGAGAGAGATATTGAGAGAGTGAGCGAGAGAGATTTAGAGAACGAGAGAGAGAGATTGAGAGAGCGAAAGAGAGAGAGAGATTGAGAGAGCGAAAGAGAGAGAGAGATTGAGAGAGCGAAAGAGAGAGAGAGATTGAGAGAGCGAAAGAGAGAGAGAGATTGAGAGAGCGAAAGAGAGAGAGAGATTGAGAGAGCGAAAGAGAGAGAGGGATTGAGAGAGCGAAAGAGAGAGAGAGATTGAGAGAGCGAAAG